AAAAACTGAAAAACTGACTTAACAAAATTGCAGTCATTGCTGCATATCATTTCTAGTAAATAGACCTACAAATATGAAGTAACTGCTACATATTGTAGAAAAACAAACTTAAACAGTAAAGCACGGAAACTAACTTATCAAAATTGCAGTTATTGTTGCATATCATTTCCAGTAAACATACCTACAAATCAACAGTCATTGTTGCACATTACCATAGACTTAGAAACTTTTAGTCATTCTAATATAATTACATACTAAAATAGAAATTCATATTGTCTTTACATATATCAACTGCCAAAAGGCAAGCAAAAATACTGAAATACTAATATCTACCAGGTAGTTGATTATGGTGCTGATGAACTTGTTTGGCTCAAACGAACTCTTTCAGATGTCTTTGACCTTGTCTCATTTCTTTTCTTAGCTTGAATGTGTTGAAGATTCCTTGAGGTGATAGCTTCTTTACCTTTCCATTTCACCCATGTTCTTGGTTTGTGTCCAATATCTCCAGTCACTACTGCAGAGTTTATAGGCACAATTGACATTTCAGGCTATATTCACATAAACAAACTTTGTTAGTTTACATCCAAGTTTGATCAAAGGGAGTTCATAGTCACAGTTGATATTATATGCTTACATTATAGATGGAAGCTCCACTTTCTGTTTGTAGAATTCTCATACCAACTATTCTTGGCCTTTTATAAGTAGTCCCTCTACCCATACAAGTAGAAATATCCAATAAAACTACAAATTATTAAGAAGTTAAACATAAAACAGACCTACAAAAGTGTAATCTGTAGAAGTAACTTCGGAGTAATTACCTGTTTTGTTGAGCCTCTTGGTCTTCCTCTTCCTCTTACTGTTTTTGGTACACTTTGAACTGAATGTGTTGATAAAGAAACAACACTTGATGACTTTGCACTACCAGTTGACCTTGCAGTATCTTGTGCAGCCTTGTGACAACCTTTCTTGTTATGGCCTTTAGCATGATAGTTGTTGCAGGTCATTTGAGTACCTCTTTTGAACAACTTTCCTATTTTGTTTTCAGTTGGTTTCTTCCTTCTCACTTTCTTGGGCTTGCCAGGCATTACTCTTACTTCTGATGGTATAACTAAAGGGTTTTGTGATTGTGGCTACATCTCCATATTTTGTACAGGCTGAAGGAAACGACTATAGGTCTTTATTTAAGTCTCCCTATGGTACCAATGTGCAATACTCAAATTTTTTGAAATGGACAACAGCTACATCATAAGCACATGGTATACCATTCAGCATCCAAGCTCTACAGGTGCAGGTTATCCTGTTCAGATTCACTATATGCTTACTGGTGTGTCCTTCCTTTACTTCATAACTATATTGACCATTCTAGTGCACTATACATTTAATTGATTTTGTTGTGTTCTCCTGCAACACATATAGTGCCATTGGAGAAATGTCACTGATCCAAGTATCACAAAAATCCCTCATTTGTGCTATTCTTATCATCATTTTCACCTTGATCTCTTCTAGCATTGTGATGATTGTCTTGTGCATTGGCCCTAATATCCAAAAATTAAAAGTTTCAGCCATATTGTTGTCAACACTATCACAATTGCTGAAATACTTGAAATATACCTTGTACCACCTCTCTTTGATATAGTATAGCATGTCCTCAACTATTTTATCCCTTAGTTTCTCCATGTGATCAAGATTTTTCTTTAACTCTTGTTCATAAGTTGACCTAACATATCTCCAAAAATAGTTCCTTCGCTCAATTCCTCTTCATTTTTTTGACCAGTTTACTAGGGATCTCATTATTGCTTTGTCAAGTCCCTACAATATATAAAAGATAAACAGTTAAAAGAATAAACAGATTTACAGATTTGAACAACACATTTAACAGAATATAAGTTATCTTCTGCATGTCTATAATAACAGTCAACTCTGTCCCATCTCCAAGCTCAAGATCATTCTTTGAAAGGTTCACAACCCATCTCTAATTAAATATGTTTTCAACTTCAACTACTACCCAGGCCAGTGGCAACATATGATTATTCCCATCCTTACAAGCAGCCACAAATAATTGCCCTTTACATACACCTTTCAAAAAATAACCATCAAACCCAATACACCTACAACCATCAAGGAAGGCCTTCTTCAATTCATCAAAGTAAATATAAAATGCTACAAATATTTTCCTGACATCTTCATGTGTTTCTTCACTAAATCTGGCAACACATGTGCTGCCTGGATTAGTCATTAGCAGCTCATCTCTATAGTCCAGAATTCTACCAAACTTCTTAATATGGTCACTCATAATCTGTGTTAACACAATATTCTTGGTTTTCCTTGCAATAGTCCTTCTAATATACACTTCTAACTTCTTTTGAACTAACTCCTGAAACTTAAAGATTCTAATATTTGGTTCAGAAATTATTCTGTCCTTGTATCTTTCTGCTAAGTATTTTGAGTTGCACAGTTTGTTCTTGGTAGTACCATTGTACTTGTGAAGTGGATTATAGTTTTCACCACAAAATCTTTTGTCTTAGAATCATAACTAGCAAACAAGAGCCATGGACAACCAACACAACACTTTACTCTCACCTTGTTGGTTCATTGACATACTTATCTAACTCTACATGTTCATCAACTGCTTACTTAGTAAGTGCTTCTTTATATTATCTAACACTCTCAAAAGAAAGGCCAGTTTCCCAAACAATTAACTTATAAATAGGATCAAAGCTAACCCTATTTTGTTGTTTTCTTCTTGCTCTTACTAGCGGTTGGATTTCATCTTCACCTTTATCATAAGCAGTTTTATTAGGATCAGTTTCAAAACTAGCACTCTAGCAGTTTCATCTGAGGGATTATATGACTCATCTCCAACAATCTTGCCCTTTAAAGATGTCTTCTTCCTAGCTGCATACTCATCATATTCTACATATAAACTCTTTTTACCTAACTTGGCATGTCTAGTTTCAACCTCTTTCTCTTTTTTCTTCCTTCTTTGCACCTTTTTCCTCTCTTCTCTTAAACTCTTATATTCCTCATCAACATCACTACCATATTCTTCTTCCCCTTCCTCAAACAACTCTTCAATATCTGAATATGTACTATAGTCACTGCTTTCTACATCAGTTTCAACTAATAGAGTATCATCAAGAATAGAAGGACCACCCTCATCCCTACCGGGCACATTATCAGACACTAGTTTGTGGTTCTTCAAACCCAAAACCTTCACTGCCCCCAACACTTTGATTTATGCCTTTATCAAAAAATACACTAGATTCCTCACACACATGGCTTACATATTCAATAGCTGGAGGGACCACTAATGCTTCATCAACAGAGTGGGACACATACACTTCAAATATATCCCAATTTTAAATAGAGGTACAATACTCATAATATCATCATTAGTTAATTTTTTTACCAAAGTGCTAGAATTGGGTGGCCTCACATAAATATCACATGTTTTACAATTATACCATTTTCTTTCACATAGTCTACAACAACAACAATAACAACATACCCAGTATTATCACACACCGTGGGATTTGGGAAAGGTAGTATGTACGCAAACCTTACCCCTATATTGTGAGGATAGAGAGGTTATTTCCAATATATCCTCGGCTCAGGAAAGCACAAGCACCCTATTAATGAAAATATAGACAAGAAGGAACAATACTAAAAAGTCATATAAAAGCAGAATAAAAATAACAAGACAGTAAGGTGATCAACCATGAAAGAAAGCAACGGTTAGTCATAAAAACCTACTACCAACAGAAAGCGAGACTACGTGCCAATACTATTGTTATGAACACTCTAGGCTACCAACTCTACTATCCTAATCCTCGACCTCCATACCTTCCTATCAAGGGTCATGTCCTCAGTCAGTTGAAGTTGCGCCATGTCTTGCCTAATCACCTCTCCCCACCTCTTATTTGGCTTACCTCTACCTTTCCATAGGCCCTCCAATGTCAACCTCTCACTCCTCCTCACCGGGCGGTTTGTGTTCCTCCTCTTCATATGACCAAACCACCTAAGCCGCGGTTTCCGTATCTTGTCCTTATTAGGGGCCACACCCACATTGTCGCGAATAGCCTCATTTCTAATCCTATCTAACCTGGTGTGCACGCATATCCATCTCAACATCCTCAAAATACAAAAATCTATAACATCAATATCAAAGTACTTTGTCATAATACCTCCTTCGTAGTTGATAAGATACTATTGTAATTGACTTCCATGGAGCATCCTCAGTGTAGCGAGCTCAAAAGCCATTTCTTCGAACTGAAATCAGTAAACAAGAAAAACGTCCACAAATATTTTTTTACACCTCAAAATCGACAAGAATTTGAAGAAAACAAAAAGAACCTACAAGAGAAGCCAACGATCTTCAGTATCTACACTCTAATCGACGAGATTTTGGGAAAAATCAACACTAGGTTTTGAGTTCATCAACCCTTTTCTCGTTATGTTTAGAGAGAAATGAGGTCCGGTAATTCAGGCTACGGTTAAAAAAAGCGGGTTGAGTATCTTAATCGGGTGGTTTTTAAGTAATGGACCGGATTATTAAAATTTATTTGAGTTCATTAATGATGTGGCATCACCAGAAAGAGCATGACTCACACTCATTAGTCTTTAACTGGTCTAAGGTCATGGAAGGTGGAATAAAATTCACTTGCAATGTGTTAAGGAGGTAAACGAACACTCGTTTAGTTAAAGTGTTTAAACATATTTTTTGGACAAGTTTAACGTGATCTTTCTGTATTTTATCTTTAATAAAATTAGTACTGCACTTGTCGATAGTGAATTAATCTATCATGCGCGGGAATTGAATATTGAGCTTAAATTTTCAAACAATTAGTAAAAAAATAAATAATTTTCTCCAGTAGAGATTACCGCACCCCAAAACAAAACAAAAAGAAAAAAATAAAAACAGAAAAGCATATTAATAAGAAAGCAGAAAAAGTGATCTGAAAAAAGTCATTCCATTTCAGCATATCACATGCGCTCCTCGCTGGGTCCACCTTTGATATTTCAAAATCTCGGCTTCATTTCAAACCCAGAGAGAAAACCATTTTTAGATAAAAGTAGAACCAATTAAAAAAGAAAAAAAAATGGACAAAATTTGAATGAATAGAGACTTGTTGCTTCTGGGCTTTGGATAATACTAGCAGTTCCCTATATCATTTGAGTTGTTGTCTCTCAATTCTTTTTCTCTGACAGTACACACATCTTTGACTAGCAAAATCTGAAATCTTGAATCCCCAGAAAAAGGCTAATTCTTGAAATCTGCCTCTTCAGATTTTATGGGTTTACACTAATGTATGTGCATTTTATCTTTTTGTTGTTCTTTCTCGGTTTCATTCCTAGTCTTGGAGACAATAAACTGAAATGGGCTAGCATTTGGATCTTTTTTTTTCTTGATTTTTTTAGTTCAGGTAACATTTCTATGCCCAAGATATAACTTTGGTCTGCTATTGATACTTTCCAAAGTTTGGTTCTTTTTCTTTTCCCTATCTTGAATTCAAAATGCTTAATTTTTTTATTAGATGGCTAGTTGAGTGGTGCTAAGCCAAGTCTCTTTGACATAGATATATTGGCATTTCGGATGGAGGTTAATGTGAATAAGAAAGATCATTTAGGTTATGTGGGTCATTTTTCAAATGGTGTGTGTTGATGTTATTGATTGATGGTGTCAATTATATTATGCAGGTGGATATTGTGCTATGAGGTTTTAGGAGATTAATACTATTGGTTATTGAGATGGAAAAGAGGAAATGGTTGTGGAAGAGGAAACCTTCCGATAAGAGCCCTGGTGAAACGGAGAGTTCTGGTTCATTGTCTTCGCATTCAGAGAGATACTCTGATGAGCAGGTAAAAGGCAAAAAAGGGAAAGATGTTTCATTGGTCTTTCATGTAATTTGCTGATATGGAATAATCTGATATCAAATGCTTGAAAACATAAGCTGCTGTTTTTTTTTCCCCAAAATCTCACGTTTAATCTTCACTTGCACCTTCGATTTTAGATTGATAATGGTTGAGTTAAACATTTTCACATGGTTGATAATTGTTCGCGTGCAAGTGCTGCATTTTAGTTATACTTGCATATATACTAGTTCCGATATATGAAAAGAGCATGAATTATTAGAGAATACTATGTAATTTCATGTATGTGCATTCTCTGATACCTTAGGCCTGCATCAATACTTCTGTTGCGTTCGTTTGGATGTAATTTGCATGTAAAACCTGATGTTATTGTGGTCGTGTGAAATGGTTTCTTCCTTACATTTCAAACACGAAGTTTTGGAATGATAATTTGAATGCTGACAAAGTGTCATCAACTGTTAGCATAATATGCATTTTAGATGGGAAGGCTAGCTTTATCTTCTTACTTAGAATAAGGGAAGAAAAGAGGAAAATCCATTGGATTGGATAGCAGCTTCTGATAAATATAGTGTAGAATTGCTAGCGGACTATCATTGCTCTACCTTTAATTACAGAAATGACTACCAGACTGCCTGTAGAATTGATAGCCCACCAGACTGCCTGTCTTCATCTAAAGAACTTTCCTTCATCTTGGTTTATCCAATTTCTAATTGAACTGAGCTAGAATTTTTCTTCCTTGTCCCCCCTTACTCTTATTTATTACCAGTGCTTGGGCTGAGATCAACTTCCATGGCTCTAACAAGAACACTATAAATTCCTCATAGAAGGGATTAATGATATCTATTAAATATAAATTGGTATCCTCTAATGTGTTGTTCAATGCTCTTCTTAAGAGTTTAAGGTTTTATTAAGGGACCCTGCAAGTGGTGCTTTATACTATAATAACGGAAGTTCTGGGAAAGTCGGTGGGAAAGACCTACTGAGGCTCCTGCACTAGTTTCTGGGGGGCATTCAGTACTTCCTGAATATTGGCAGGAGGTTTTTGATGAATCAACTGGTGTGCTATGTATCACAACTTTGCTAGTTGTTTACTTGTTACATGTTTATTTCATTATTTGTGGATGGAGAAAGATTAGATTAGAACACTTAGAACTTTTAATTCATTGTAATACATTGAGTTAAAATATATATATATATATATATTTTCTTACATTGAATTTATTTTCTTCGGTGTAGTAGGTTGATCCTTTTTTATTAATGTGAATCTTGATACAGTTGCTATTTCTCAAAAAACAATTTGGCTTCCCCTTTTCTGGATTTGCCTTTTCCAGGAATCATTTCATTCTTTAGTTACATATTATAAGGGAAATGCCCTTTTTAAGAAGATAATAAGTAAAAAAGGGAGGCTACAGTAATTTTTCTTCGTTGATAAATGTAGGACCTTTCAAATGTAAAAAGAAAAAATAAAGAAAGAAAGGGTGATTCAGAATTACAAATAAATTCTAAGGTCATATTCCTGAACTACCTTACTTTTTACATCGGGAAGATCTTAAGTGCAAAATAGTTGTAAAAAGGTTGATAATTTCAAAGGATCTGAAGAAAGAGAAATAATCATCATTTATTGCTACTAAAAAATGAGGCACTGATTCCTGGCAAGTGCTGCAACTCAAGTGAAAAACTATACAAGAATAGTTCTGGGCTCAAACCAGGGGCAACTATCATTAACTTCTCGTGACCGACCAGACCCAAGCCAAGATCCAAGTGGTCATTTATTTGTAGGTTACAGCAAATGAAACTATTAGTTCCTCAACAAAAGTGTCATATTGGTACAATGAATGGTGGACGCCTTCCTATTGTAAGCCCGGTGCTCTTTGACGTAAATGGAAGGACTTAGAGATATAGCTGAATGACTTTGGACCAAATCACAACCCTTTTATAGATGTGTATAAGCCTTTATTTTTAACTACAGGTAAATGATCCTTCTTTGCCTACTCGTGTTACAAGAATCAAGGGTAAAATGAGTAGATTTCATATGGACTGCTCGTTACATGAACTATTTGTACATGTGTTTTCTGTAGCAGTGCAAAATAGATCTCTTTAAAAGCAATCTATTCTCCATGCTGGAACAGAAATTCCTTTCAGTTGGAGACATACAACTTTTTACATCTGTATATATCTCATAAATAATCTCGATACGGTGTGTTTTGTTAGGCTTAGTCTGCTTTTTCCTTTCCTTTTCCTTCATAAGAAAAAACCAAAAGGTCCTGAAGTGCTTCAACTTGTAAATATAGGGACTAAAGTTGTGATAAACCTTAAACACTGGGATGTGAGGTACAATTTGGCAAGTTGCTCAGAGCACAAAACACACATATGAAAACTGCAATTTGATAAGTTGGTCTCTCGATCTTTGGTGGCATACTGTTGATTATCTTGATATTCTTCATTTTTTCCTTTTTAAATTTTTTCTATTGCTGTAATCATTTCCTAACACAATAATTTTTGTAGATCTTTGTTATTACATGTTGTGTCTTTGTTATTTCTTGTTGTTGTTATTGTTTGTTGCTTCCTTTTCACTATTCCTTGAGCCGAGGATCTACCGGAAACAGCCTCTCTACCTTCACAAGGTAGGGGTAAGGTCTGCGTACACATTACCCTCCCCAAATTCCAGTGGTGGGATTACAGTGGGTTTGTAGTTGTTGTAAGTTGTGCAATCGGAAATTGTAGTCAATTAATGAATTTCAGATCTATGGGGCCAAAAGCAACATAAAGGAGATTATTGTGATAAGATTGAGTATGTCAGATCATAGTAATTGAGCGCCAGACAGTATATCTATATGCAACTAGCATCTCCAGTAATGGTGAATACGAATTGCGGAGGAAACTTGAGCAGTATTTGATATGTGCAGCTAAAGATTATAGTGACTGAAAATTGACCTCTAGTTTGGTGCCTCAATATGCTTTCCCAGTATAAAAATTGGTTGCCCAGCTTAGATGGTAAAGATGCTGGAAGACCTTGGCTTAGAAATAAAGTGCCAAAAACTTTCGTAAGTGATGTTTCTTACAGTAGTCATTGGAATATGCTTTTTGGTGAGGTTAGATGTTTCAAAATGAGTGTAAGGATGATCATAGTGCTTTGTTGGGAAAACCTTCTTTCTAGGGTCATTTGCCTCGTATCGAAAACCATTCAATAGTTTCCTTAGTGACTATAGCTCTGCCAGATGACCATCTCAATGCAATTTAGTACATTACTTATATTTTTAAAGAAAGCCTTTATCATTTTTAGCTGTTATATAATATATCCTTTTTCATAAAAAATGATCACCTTTCTTTAGTTGGAGCAGGATGCACTGAAAGAATTTTCTGACCATGACAAGCAGTCACCAGAGATAACCTCAAAAGCTGCAACTATTGATGATGAAGCCAAGGAAAGCTTGAGAAGTTTGACAGAGAAGTTATCAGCTGCTCTTGTTAATGTTAGTGCCAAAGAAGACTTAGTTAAGCAGCATGCAAAAGTAGCTGAAGAAGCTATTGCGGGTATCTTCTTCCACTCCTTTTCTTCCTCAGCTGCAATTGCAATATAAGAATTTGTCTCTTCGCATACACCCTTTTTTTGTATGTGAATTACATGCAGAAACATTTATCTGGACATGTACTTCTTCCATCACCTTATGATTTTTTGGTCTCTTAATATCCTGTATTTGGTAGGTTGGGAAAAGGCAGAAAGTGAAGTTGCAGTTGTAAAGCAACAACTAGATGCAGCCGTGCAGCAGAACTTGTCTTTGGAAGTTCGTGTCAGCCATCTTGATGGTGCACTAAAGGAATGTGTCAGGCAGTTGAGACAAGCTAGGGATGAGCAAGAGAAACGAATTCAAGAAGCTGTTGTAGAGAAAAATGAATGGGAATCTGAAAAAGCTGCACTTGAAAACCAGCTACTTAAGCTCCAGTCACAAGTAGAGACTTGCAAAGCTGAAACTCCTACTTCTACTGATCCTGATATCCTTGTCAGGCTTGATTGTCTGGAGAAGGAGAATACAGCTCTCAAAATTGAGCTTCACTCTTGTTCAGAGGAGTTGGAAATTAGGACCATCGAGAGGGATTTGAGCACTCAAGCAGCAGAATCCGCCAGCAAGCAGCACCTAGAAAGCATAAAAAAGGTGACCAAGCTTGAAGCTGAGTGTCGAAAGCTTCAGGCCACGGCGCGCAAAGCATCCCCATTTAGTGATCAACGTTCCTCTGCTGTTTCATCTTACTATGTAGAGTCTGTCACTGATAGTCAGTCTGATAGCGGAGAGCGGTTAAATACAGTCGATAACGATGGCCTTAAGATGACTAAACTGGAAACAAATGAATATGAACCAAGTTGCTCTAATTCATGGGCTTCGGCACTCATTGCTGAGCTTGATCAATTTAAGAATGAAAAGGCCACGCATAAAACTCTTGCTGCCTGTTCCATTGAAATTGATATGATGGATGACTTCTTGGAGATGGAACGACTTGCTGCATTATCTGAAACTGCTAATAAGACACCTTCAATTACATCTGATGCTGTTCCTCATGACTCACCCAATGTCGAGAACCCTTTGGCAGCAGAATATGATTCCATTTCACAAAGGGTGGCTGAATTAGAACAAAAGCTGGAGAAGATAGAAGCAGAGAAAGCTGAACTGGAGAATGCTTTAAGCGAGTGTCAAGATGCCCTTAAGGTGTCCTCTGTGCATCTTAAGGAAAGTCAAACCAGATTGGAAGAGCTGCAGAAGGAGCTAGATGCAGTGAATGAATCAAAAGAGTTGCTTGAGTTTCAACTCTTCGGCATGGAGGTAGAAGCACGGACCATGTCTGCAAATATTGGTTCTTTGAAGACAGAGATTGAAAGAGAACAATCCTTGTCATCAGACATGGAAGCTAAGTGTCGTGAATTGGAAAATGAGCTCCAGAAAAAAGACCAGAAAGTTGAACTTCAGCAAACTTTTGGTTCAAACGGTGAAGTGAAAATAAAACAGGTAGCTCTTTGTCTCAACCTATCTTGTGTTTTTTTATCATTCCAGTGTTTATACAACATGGATGTGAAGAGAAGATGAAAACTAATAATGTAATGTGAACTTTCTCATTTGCAGGAGGATTTAGCAGTGGCTGCTGACAAGCTTGCAGAATGCCAGAAAACAATTGCATCCCTTGGAAAACAGCTACAGTCCCTAGCCACTCTGGAAGATTTCCTGATAGACACTGCAAATCTTCCTGGGGGAGAATCAGTTGTTGCTAAAGCGGGAGGAGAACTATGGAAATTGCATGTAAACGAGACATTTACCCCAAAATGCGGTTCTGATCCTTCCAAGGTCGAGGAAGAGAATGCGAGTCATTCTATGAATGGAAATGAAGGGGAATCATCAGCATCTTCATCTACTTCATCCGCTACTCAGGCGACCACTGCCAAAAGCAAAAATGGTTTTGGGAAATTGTTTTCTCGGAGTAAGAGCGGACTCCCAACGCTAAAAGTTAATGACGATAAATAACTAGAGGGAAGCTGGAATATAATTTTACGGGACATCAATTGGTAAAAAGTTGCATGGCTGATCAAATTCTGTTTGATAAGCATACTGTTTGCTTCAAGAGTTATGAAAAGTGTTCAGAAGTTTCAAATGGCATTAGATCTTGAATTTACACTGCTTTGGCTGTTCTCCCTCTTTTTATTTAATCCCTCTCAGCAGATTTTTGTATCCATTTCTTGAACATAACTATCCCCTAGAGAAAAGAACCTTATAGGTTTGTTTAGTTTGGCTTAAAATGGGATTGTAATTTGTTGGTATGGAAACGTTTTAGGAGAGGTTAATGAGGGCAGTGTCCAGCAGTCCAGGGGTTTGAATAACACTTACTTTTGAATAGAGGATCAGGTGTGGAATTGTAGTCAGGAAATGAGGCATTAGCACAAACCAAGAATCTATTTCTCGTCTTCAATTTTATTTTGAAAGAGAAATTAAGGAGTCTTTTAGATATAGGAATTAGGAAAATAATTTTGGTATAAAATACATCAATATTTTATATCACGTTTGGTTGGTATTTTGTTTTTGGTGCAAGTAATATCGGTGTAGTTTTATACCACAAATTTGATATTATTTTATATAGGATCCAACATGGGATAACTCATACTAGAGCTAGTTTTAGGAGGAAAAGACACCTAAAAAGACCAAAATAGCCTTTACTTTTTTTTTTTTTAATTTGTATTTAGAAATGATAAAATTATAAACTTTATAGTAACTCCATATCCATATCTCTTTGTTTTTATATAAAACCAAACACCCCCGAGGCGTATCCAAGATTTTAATACCATGGGTGCACTATTATCTTTAATATAGATATTTGGTTCCATTATATAATTTTTTTTTGGTGATAGCAAGTTTACGAGCAAACTATATTAATACTATATTCACAAAAAATAGCACACTTTACAATTGTACTTGACGAGTTTTTATACTTTGAAAACGGTCAATAATAGCATCATTATTTACAGTTTTAAATATCTCACTCTCTATATATCAAACTAAACAATCATTCCAAAGAGTTTTTAAAAGCGGAGCTTAATATTGAACATGAGATTTTGCTGCTTTGAATCCACTGAGAGCCTCATCATGAGTACTTTGTTTTTAGGAATTTCAAAGTTTTTGTACTCAAAAGAATGATTAAGAGAAGAAAAATAAAACAGACGTAAAAAATGTGTTTGTTGTTAATTGAAAAGGGCATGGGAGTTGAGAATTTATTAAGTAATTAATTAATTATAAAAGGAATTAATCAAAAAGAACTGTATGGGATCGAACCCCTGACCTTGGGAGCAAAAAGGAGACAAAAGGGGCACTTTGTCACCCATTCAAGTCAATCAATTGAGTATACGTGACCACAAATATATTTAACCACAAAATTGAAAAGATTAGTACTTTAAAGTTTATACATAGCCTAGGGAGGGGAGCATGGGATGCATGTATCCCGCCCCCTCCACATAAATCCATCCCTGCAAACACCGGCCTAAAAAAAACATAAACACTAAATAATCAGGTGATGAATCAGTTCGATTTCATGCCGGAGTGTTCGACCACATAAGTCATTCATCTTGTGAGGAGGTTGGTGGAGCAGTATCGGGAGAGGAAGATGGACCTGCATATGGTGTTCATCGATTTAGAAAAAGCTTACGATAACGTCTCAAGGGAGATTTTATGGAGATATCTGGAGGTTAGTGGGATTCCGGCGACGTACATTAGGATGGTTAAGGATATGTACGATGGAGCGAAGACTCGAGTGAGGACTGTGGTAGGAGACTCAGACAATTTTCCTATGATGATAGGGTTACATCATGGCTCAGCTCTTAACCCATTTTTATTTGCCTTCACGATGGACGTATTGACATACCACGTTCAAGGGGAGGTGCCATGGTGTATGTTATTTACAGATGACATTGTGCTAATCGATGAGATGCGCTGCGGGGTTAACGACGTTGCGGGGCTGGAGCTGTGGAGGTAGACCTTGAAGTCTAATGATTTCAAGTTGAGTAGAACAAAAATTGAATACTTGGAGTGCAAGTTCAGTGTGGGGACGGAGGAAACAGAAGCGGAGGTGAAGCTTGATACACAAGTCATCCCCAAGAGAGATAGTTTCAAATATCTTGGGTCCGTTATTCAGGGGAATGGGGTGATTGACGAGGATGTTGCGCATCGTGTTGGAGCGGGGTGGATGAAATGGAGGCTTGCGTCTGGTGTTTTGTGTGATAGGAATGTGCCACCAAGTCTTAAGGGCAAGATCTACAAAGTGGTAGTTAGATCGACTATGTTATATGGAGCCAAATGTTGGCCAGTCAAGAAATCTCATGTCCAGAAGACGAAAGTAGCAGAGATGAGGATGTTAAGATGTATGTGGGGGCATACCAGGAAGGATCAGATTAGGAATGAAGTTATTAGGGACAAGGTGGGTGTGGCCCATGTAGAAGACAAATTGCGAGAGTCGAGGCTAAGATGGTTCAAACATGTGAAGAGGAGAGACATCGATGCCCCGGTGAGGAGATGTGAGAGGTTGACCATAGCGGGTCAGAGGAGAGGTAGAGGGAGACCTAGAAAGTCCTAAGGAGAGGTGATTAGGCAGGACATGGCTCTACTTCAGCTTACCGAGGACATGACCCTTGATAGGGAGGTGTGGAGGTCGAGGATTAGGGTTGTGATTTGATAGGTAGTCGAGAGTCTCTTCTAGTCGTAGTAGTAGCACTAGTACTAGTCTTGTATTCTTCTATTCCGAGTTCCTTGCTGATTAGACGATGTGGCATTAAAATTGCCGGTAGTTTTTGCACTTCTTTTATAGCTTCGTATTCCTAGTTCTCTGCTATTACATGATGTGCTATTTGTTTCTTTTATCTTATTTCCTTGCCATTGTTAATGTTGGTTTATTGTGTCCTCGTCACTGTTCTTGAGCCGAGTATTTATTGGAAACAATCTCTCTTCCTTTATAAGGTAGGAGTAAAGTTTGCCTACACACTACCTTCCCCAGACCTCACATGTTGTTGTAATATAATCACTGCATAAGTCCATGAATCAAAAGACTCTTGATTGCTTTTCTTACTTATACTCTTTTTTTTTTGGAGTAAATTTCACTTAATGACTAACCTTTTTGATTAGAAATATAATACCCTATTCACCATTTGAATGGAATAGAGATTAGAGAACCGCCTTGACCATAGTCATTGACAGAATCTTCAAAAGGTCAAAAACCGATCCTTACTAATTAGTATGAATGTACCTATTTTGAAAATAGGTCTAACTATTTTGAAATTTTTCATCGCCATTATTTTGAAAATAAAAGCAACAATTTTAAATGTTAATAGGAGTTAGTTTGTAAGCGACATGACATTTCAAAATTTTGAAATCAACTGAACATATTAATTTAAGAAGATTTTTTTATGCCATGCAAAAGATGTATGAGGTATTATTTCCTTACCTTATAATATTATGGTAATTTACTCTTCTATATAATAAAATATTATTGGGTGTCTTTCAGAGGTGGATCCAGGATTTAAGACCATGAGTGCACCACCATACTTGTCATGACATCAAGAAATGTAATTTTTTAGTATTTTATGACATATTAATAATTTTGCACATTATTCAAAGAGATAAACTATAATTTTGCTAATCTAAATTTGTGTCTGTCACTAATATTATTAGTTATAATCTGACAATCATTACATAATATTTGTCTTAACATAAAATTCAAAATAAAAAGGGAAAGTGGAATGCTAATGAAAATTTAATACTGTAAAAATTAAAACTTATGCAAATTTTATGGCTAAAAGAAGCAGGAAAATATCTAAAAGCTCTTAGAGCATATGACAAGTTCTTTATATATATGTGACTTGCTTATCCAAAAAAAGAAAAGTATTTTATCCAAAGTTGGAAAACAATTTAATAATTTGGTTGGAATTCAGATATATTTAAGTAATAATTTGGGATAAAAATATTTAAGCAAGTTTCATCATGAACTTAGATCTTATTGTCACGCAAATTATTTATAATAACTAATTTATAACGGTTCAAGATAAAGACAAATCTCAATGAAAGTAATCAATAGTTTAATCTCCAACTCCTTAAGTTATTGTTTACGATGAAGACTTGAAAAAGAAGATTAAAAAAAATGATAAGAAGAGAATAAAAATAGAATTAAAACAAAAAAGAGCTCCAAAGTAAAACTAAATAGGTGGTATTATATTAATGTGTGTCCATGGAGTCTCGATCGGAGGAACCAATGCCAAAATTTGAGCATGGGTGCCATCTACTCTATATGGCTAAACTATTGAAAATTTATACGCAAAATTTGCTTTTACTAGGCAAGAGGATGGGTGCATATGCCCTTGTTTAGATACGCCTCTGGTGTCTTTGGGTATTATTGAAGATCATCTTTTGACATTTTGAAAGTACATGCAATTATCAACTCATTTATAGCCGTAGATTTAAGATCAAGGACGTATTGTGCCTCCCTTAAATTGTGAATGAAATACTTCTTTTTTCAAACTCAAAATGTTAAAGAAGTAATTTTTTTTCCCAAGTGAAAATCATGTCCAAACACAATAGTTTTCATGTACCCTAGTTGAATACAGGGGCGGCCTAAGGGTAAGATAAATAAAGTCATTGCCATAGGTCCCAAAAATATTGAGGGCCCCAATTTTAAGTACTATGTGTTACATATATTTTATGTAATTATTATTAATAAAATAGTTTAAATTTATTAATTAAAGTTATACGGTTGAGTGATAAATAACAATAAATTTCTCTCTCATTTAACTAAATGATGCAGTTAACTTCGTTATCAAATCTAATTTTTTCTCCTCTACGTACACTCATGTTTTTCTTATACTAGTTTTTGGACACGTGCGTTGCACGTGTGTCCCATGTCAATTAGTACAAACGTTATAATCAGTAGTATTGATAATATTAACAACAATAACAATAAAGTAAAATTCCACAAGTGGAGTCTGAGGAGGGTAGAGTGTAACCTTACCCCTATCCCAAGAGGTAAAGAGGCTGTTTCTGATGGAGTTCGGCTCAAGCAGACGAAAAAGACAATATATCAATACCAACAATAGTATTGATAATATTAAAACTGTAGCATAATGAATAATATAAATGTGAAGGGGTAAGTTACGAGCTCAAGCTGATAAATAGTCAACTTATTTGATTGACTTAATTACCGAAAATGATTACCTATTGTCTGACCAAAATATGCCAAAAAATGGACAATGTAAC